AACCTTCATAGCTAGAGAGGAGAAGTCAATGCCTGGCTTCAAAGCTTCAAAGGACAGCCTGACTCTCTTGTTAGGGGCTAACATTGCTGGAAACTTTCAGTGGATGTCAGGGCTCAGGGGCCATTCTAAAAATCCCAGGTCTCTTAAGAATTATAGGTAATAATTACCTATGCTCTATGATTGGGACAACAAAGCCTGGAAGACAGCACCTTGGATTATTACCTGGAATAATATGAATATTTTAAGCCCACTGTTACAAGCTACTGCTCGGAAGAAAAGATTTCTTTCAAATATTACTGCTTACGATAAGGCACCTGGTCACCCAAGAACTCTGATGGAGATGTACAATGGGATTAATGCTGTTTTAATGCCTGTTAGCACATCCATTCTGCAGCCCATAGATCAAGGAGTAATTTGACTTTCAAGTCTTATTAGTTAAGAAATACATTTCATAAGGCTATAGTTGCCATAGATAGAATTCCTCTAATGGATCTGGGCAAAGTAAATTGAAAACCTTTTGGAAAGGATTCATTATTCTCAATGTCACTAAAAACATTTGTGATTTGTAGGAAGAGGTAAAAATATGGACATTAACAGGAGCTTGGAAGAAGTTGATTCCAACCCACTTAGATGACTTTGATGGGTTTGGAACTTCAGTGGAGGACATAACTACAGATATGGTGGAGATAGCAAGAGAACTAGAATTCAAAGTAGAACTTGAAGATGTGACTAAACTGCTGCAATCTAATATAAGACTTTACGAGGGATTGCTTCTTATGGATGAGCAAAGGAAGTGCTTTTTTTAAAAAAAATTAGATTTTATTTATTTATTCACGAGAGACACAGAGACAGAGGCAGAGACAGAGGCTCCATGCAGGGAGCCCAGTGTGGGACTCGATCCCAGGACCGTGGTATCATGCCCTGAGACCAAGGCAGACGCTCAACCGCTGAGCCACCCAGGCACCCCAAGAAAGTGGTTTCTTGTGATGGAATCTACTCCTGGTAAAGATACTATGAAGGTTGTTGAGATGACAACAAATGATTTAGAATATTACATAAACTTAGTTGATAAAGAAATGCAGGTATGAGAGGATTGACTCCAGTTTTGAAAGAAGTTTTGCTGTAGGTAAAATGCCATCAAACAGCATCACTTGCTAAGAGAAATTGTTCATGAAATGAAGAGTCATTGATGCAGCAAACTTAATTGCTGTCTTATTTTAAGAAATTATCACAGCCATCCCGACCTTCATCAACCACCACTCTGATCAGTAGGCAGCCATCAACACTGAGGCAAGACCCTCCCAACAGCAAAAAGATTATGACTTGCTTAAAGCTCAAATGATGGTTAGCATTTTTTCAGCAGTATTTTTTAAAGTTTTTATTTAAATTCTAATAACATATAGTGTAATATTATTTTCAGGAGAGCAGTAAAGGTTTTTAAAAATATTTTATTTATTTATTTGAGATACAGAGAGAGCAAGAGCACACTGGCAAGACAGCTTAAGTAGGTGAGGGGTAGAGAGAGAAGCTGATTCTTTGCTGAGCAGGGAGTCTCCATGCGGGGCTCAATCCCATGGCCTCAGGACCACAACCTGAGCCAAAGGCAGATACCCAACTGACTGAGCCACCCAAGTGCTCTAGTAAAGTATTTTTTAAAATTAAGATATGTACTTTCTTTTATAGACATAATGTTGTTGCACATTTAACAGAGTTTGTATAGCATAAACACATTTTTTATATGCAGTGGAAAAGTGAAAATTCATTTTACTTGCTTTATTGCAATATTTACTTATATGTAGTGCTCTGGAATACCTGCAATATCTATGAGGTATGTCTGTACTTTCACATAAATTGGTGAATGGATTGGATCTTTATGAATCTATTATAATAATCCGGGAAGTTAATAATAAAGATCTGAACTAAATCAACAGCAGTGGGGATGGAGAACAAGGGATGGATTTCAGAGGATGTAGAGGTAAAGAAAATAAGTTTAGTATTGGTCATGTTACATTTCCTAGCAGCAGGTATACCTGTGGTGTAGGAGTCTGGAGCTCAGGTAAGGTCTGGGAAGTGATACAGAACTAGAAATTGCATAGTATTTGAAATGCATGAGGTTATCTGAAGTAAATGTATAAGATCTGAAAAGGATCAAAGACAAAAACTCTAAAGAAAGTTTACATTCAAGGAATTGAAGAAGGAAAGCAAGCCTACAAGAGCCAATAAAGGAGACAAGTACTTTATTATCTACCTGTCTCTGTCCTATGCGATAGTGAAATCCATGGGGCAGGCATTTCATTTTATTCATCTTTTATATCCAGGACCTAATGTAGTACCTGACATTTAATAGATGTTTAGTAAATATTTGTTGAACAAACTGAGTATGTTTCTATATATAGTATTATTTCTTAAATACCTAACTAAAGTGCTTGGAAGGTTTAATTATAATACCCTTTTGCATTAAAAATTGATCCAACTTGAAGGTTGAATGCAAAGCTCACTATTATTTTTCATCATCATGGGTGGAAACATCCATGAAGAGTTTGCTTACTTATGAGTGACAACTGATTTAAAGAATAAATGAAGGGGAAACAAGCACATGAAGGGAAAAGAGAATCCATCTGACAGCATTTTTTTTTCCTAAAAGAAAAATAAAAATGGTCATTTTCAATTCTGTTTTTTCCTTAGAACGACTGGAATTCCTATCTAAATGTGACTTTGGTATACACAGTGCACCCAAAGGACTGATGTTAAGGGAAACTACCCTGAAATTATCACAAGCCAGGGATGGTTAACTTATTTTCATAATAAGTAAAGTATTTATTCATATTTTCTGAAAATATCTTGGTGTTGATATAAAAAATAACTGAATATTTTGCTTTCAATAGTACAAAGAAACATATTTCATTATAATTGCTTTCTGAAATCACATAGTTATTTGCTGACTAATTCCCCACTCCAATTTCTAAATCTTTATTTTCTTTAATGAGAAGTACAACAAAAATGAAACAAAAGGTTTCAGTCTAATGATATATACATACCTAAAAGAATATAACTCAAAGATGTGTAACTATATAAAAACAACTTTTGTCTAAGTAGGGCAAGGACTAAAAAGCCTGAATTGGGCATTTAATGTTTCACTAGTGTTAGACCTTTTAAAAAAAGTTTTATTTATTTAATCTCTACATCCCACATGGGGAATTAACTCACAATCCCAAGATCAAGAGTTGCATCCCCTGAATGAGCCAGTCAGGTGCCCCATAGGTGTTTTATCATAAGTTGTTATGTTTTCTATGATTATTTTTTGTATTTTAATACTGAGAGAAGAGCACTATCATGTAGTAAAAAGAAGAATGTAAATCTTGAGCTTTAATCCTATTCCTTTTCTGTAGCTCTGAGTGTGAGTTTCTTTGCAGAAAAATTATGGTGTTTGTATAGATGCTCTCTAATGTTCATTGAAGTTTGAATATTTTATGATTCATGAATGAAGTCTTTTATTTGTAAAATCAATCCTTTTGTGTTTATCTATATAACAAAAAAATTAAGAAACTACATTTTATTCAAATTGCACTAAAACTTCTATGCTGAATTTTTAGAAAGGAAAATGGTTGATTAAAAACTGAAAACACTGAGGAATACTACCTTTCCACAGGCTGCCTTCATGTGCTATTAACCTAAGAGTTTATATCTTCTCATTGGAAATGAGAAGATGGATGAAGCAGAAAAACTAGGTCAGACTGATTGCTCAGCTAGGTCAGACTGGTTGCTCAGTAAACAATGGATGAATTAATACAGTTTTTACATTTTACATTTAAAAATATGTTTTTCACAAAGGAAAACATGGTTATAAGACACATTTATTATCTCCCATTTCTGACAAAACAGACATCAAGCAGACTCAGAGTTAACTATTTTTCTCACTCAGTGCTGATAATCCTTTCTTTTTTTTTAAGATTTATTTTAAGTCTTTTAAAAAAGATGTAATTATTTATTTGAGAGACAGAGAGTGAGTGAGTGGCAGAGGGAGAGATAATTCTCAAGTAGACTCCCTGCTGATCACAGAACCTGATGTGGGGCTCAATCCCAGGATCCTGAGATCATACCTGAGCCAAAATCAAAAGTTGAACACTTAACTGACCAAGTCACCCTGGTGCTCCTATTTTATTTATTTGAGAGAGAGAGAAAGAGCAAGAGTGAGAGAGAGCGAGCATGAGCAGGAGGGGCAGAGGGAGAAGGAGAGAGAATCTCAAAGAGACTCCATGCTGAGCACAGAGCCTGAGGCAGGACTTGATCTGAAACCCTTAGATCATGACCTGAGCTGAAACCAAGGGTTGAACACCCAACCAACTTGCCACCCAGGTGCCCTTGATAATCCTTTTTCTTTTTTTTTTAAGATTTTTTATTTATTTATCTGAGAGAGAGAGAGAGAGAGAGAGAGAGAGAGAGAGAGGCAGAGACACAGGCAGAGGGAGAAACAGGCTCCATGCATGGAGCCCGACATGAGACTCAATCCCAGGTCTCCAGGATCATGCTGCTGGCTGAAGGCGTCACTAAACCTCTGAGCCACTTGGGCTGCCTGATAATCCTTTCTTTAGTTTAGAGTATTGGTATTTTGATGGACAGGGTAAACATAGTTGATTATTTTCCTTTTTTTTTAATGAAAAAAAATTTCATCTGGAAAGAAAGAACTGCTTCACATTTAATTAAGATTATTAATATAAATTTAGTATTATAAATAATTCATCAGCTTTTTATTTTGGACCCATGGGGTCCAAATACAGGGGTTGCTATTTTTAAGGTAAATTTGATCCCGACTGGATTAGCTCCATTTTAAGACTGATCTTAGTTGAGTAGAAATAAGCAAAAGAAGGAAAAAGAATGATGATAATAATTGTGATAATGGTTAATAACCTTTCTCCTTCAGGAAAACCATGTATTAATATTATATGAATCTTACTTGGAAAAAAATGGAAAGAAAAGGCAATGGGCAAATATAACCATACCTCGGTAGTTGATGATTTCTGTCCCAAGCACCGGAGTCATCTCCAGAACTGTGATGAAGGCTTTGTCCATAGATGTTAGAGGAAACGGAGACATGCGGTGTCTTCTAGCCACCTTGGTGATATCAACAGCACTGTGACCTAAACAGGAAGATAATTAACTAAGACTATGATGCTGAAACAGTGACAAAAAAGTGGGAATGTCTTATAAATATCATAAATTCTCATTTTCATATGTCTGTAAATGAACATTGCAAGGTGAGAAATTTTCTCTTGCTTCCAAAATTTAGCCTGCTTTGGTGGAACATTAAATCAAGTCAGTAATGTTACATCATGTGTCAAAACTTGGTGAAATTTTTTAATTTTTATTAAAGACTTATTTATTTATTTATTCATGATAGACAGAGAGAGAGAGAGAGGCAGAGACACAGGCAGAGGGAGAAGCAGGCTCCATGCTGGGAGCCTGATGCGGGACTCGATCCAGCGGGACTCCAGGATCCCCTCGCAGGCACCAAACCTCTGAGCCACCCAGGGATCCCCAAAACTTAGTGAAATTTAATGATGTTATTGGATAATCCTTTTAAGTGCCTACTGTGCATTGTGGCACTGTTTTAATTAATCTTCACAACAACCTTATGGGGAGGCATTATTATTATCTTTATTTACAGAGGAGGTTTATATATCTTGGCCTAAATCACAGAGCTATTAATAGCAGAGAAAATGATAGAGCTATTAATAGCAGAGACTCAAACCGGGGTAGTATGGCTTCAGAGTCTATGTCCTTAACCACAAACTAAACATTGAACACCTAGTGCGCTAGTCAGTAAAATGAAATACTCAAACTTGAATTTATTTAGGATTTCAAAGGAAATATTCTTTTTTTAGAAAAGTCACAGAAAAGATTATTTAGCTACTCACTCCTTACTCACTCCCCTTCAGGGCATTAATGTCACCCATACACTAAATTTATTTTATCTCCAATTCCCTACTTTCAACTCTAGATTTACATGTCATCCAAACAGCTGGTGGATAAGAATATGTATCTCCAAACTTAAAAATTATCCAACATGTCCAAAATCAAACTCTTAATTCTCCTATCCTTCTGTCTTACCCTTATGATGTTTTGTTCTCTTGTAATTTCCATCTCAGAAAACAGCATTGCCATCATGAAAGATTTAATTACTAATGGCAATGTCTGTGATGTACAAGGCCTTCAAAGGGACACAGAAAGAACAAATGGATTCCTTTCTACTAAGTAGAGTAACTAAGGATCTTTGTCATATAGCAGTAACCCTTTTCTTATGGCATGACCATGTGAAATGAGCTAATTATACCAATGAAATTATCTTTCCCAATTCAAATGCATCTTTTTCAATCTGACAATTCTTTTTTTTTTCAATCTGGTAATTCTTAATATACAGTGTTTAATCTTGGCTTGAAAATCCATTCTTTAAATTAGAAGTAAATGAAAAGATGCTTTCAAATGATAGAACAAAATATAATAGAAACAAGATATTAGGACAGGCTCTTCTTGATTAAATTAAAATTCTCAAGAAGTAACTTTACACCTCAAAACAACCAAACTGCCTAAAGTGTAAATCATTATTCATTCCTTGGATATAAAGAAAATCTCAAGGAAGGGGCTTGTTCTGCCCTATTAAGAACACTGCCGTTATTTATCATTGTATTTGAGACTTGAATTCCTTCTATTTCTACTTTCTGGATATTTGAGAGGAAAAAACCACCTAGAATAATGAATAGTTTTCCTAGGAAACCTAAGAGTGAAAATGTTAGTTTGTTCAGGTTAAATGGTGAGGACCTTTGGTGATTCAAAGGATGTGTGGTTCATATACATAAGCACTGACTTTTTCATATGTCTCTCAAATTAAGATAAATCAAGTTCAAAGCCTAAGGAAACATTAGCAATGGTGGAGTTCGTAGGCTTAGGATGACGTATCTGACAGTTTATGTAACTGAAAATACTTTTTCATATTGTTTTCAACTTAATACTCTTGTTTTCTACTTATTTATCTTAGATAATGGGTCCCACAGCATTTCTGACAAAACCTAGAAAACATGGTTGAAAGGACTGTGTTATTTTTTACGGCAGTATAAGAAATATTAAAGGAAAATACTCTTGGGATTTTGTGCATCAAGATTATAAAACGGCATTGTCATGAAATGTTTGCTCTATAATTTATATGCACAATCACCCATGGGATAAAATAAAATTCCTTAGATTAGCATATAAAATGCTTCCTTTTCAGCCTCATCACTCACTACTCCATTAGAAAATTGACAATATTGTAGATATTAGGATATACCATACTATTTCATATTTTTCTGTCTTAGCATATGATGTTCACTTTGCCCAGAATGAAATTTCTCTTATCTTCTTTTTTAAATTTTTTTTTATTTATTTATGATAGTGAGAGAGAGAGAGAGAGAGAGAGAGAGAGAGAGAGAGAGAGGCAGAGACACAGGCAGAGGGAGAAGCAGGCTCCATGCACAGGGAGCCCGACGTGGGATTCGATTTCGATCCTGGGCCTCCAGGATCGCGCCCTGGGCCAAAGGCAGGCGCCAAACCGCTGCGCCACCCAGGGATCCCAATTTATTTATTTATTTATTTATTTATTTATTTATTTATTTATGCCAAAGGCAGGCGCCAAACCGCTGCGCCACCCAGGGATCCCAATCTTTTTATTTATTTATTTATTTATTTATTTATTTATTTATTTATTTATTTATTTATTTATTTATGATAGTCACAGAGAGGGAGACAGAGAGAGAGAGAGGCAGAGACACAGGCAGAGGGAGAAGCAGGCTCCATGCACTGAGAGCCCGATGTGGGATTCGATCCGGGGTCTCCAGGATCGCGCCCTGGGTCAAAGGCAGGCGCTAAACCGCTGCGCCACCCAGGGATCCCCCAGGGATCCCAATCTTCTTAAGAAATTATCATTCTTCCTTCACAACTTTCTCCTGTAAGGAAGTAATCAAATAATGATGGAATATGCTCAAAAGGGACTGGACAAACCTGGGACAATTTAAGCATCATAGTAAATTAGGATAATAATAGATAATATAATCCATTTAATAAAAGTAAGAATCTATTAATATATAAATTCTTCCTTACAGCAGAATGCCAACTGATTAATGAAGAAATGTTTGAATTAGAAAGTCATCACTTGGCAACTATCATAGTAAGGACTGGTTCAGGCAAAAATCATTAATGGATAAATAAAACTAAAAGGTAAAAATCTGAAGACAATGTATTTGTGTATTTCACTATATAGCCTCATAAAATTTGTATTGACTACAAAGCAAAATAGTAATTTTAGAATGGAGAAACCTGGCAAATAGCATCTTAACCAAGTGACCAAAGTTAGTATCACCAGTAATAGGACAAAATGACATCACAAACCTCTTGATATTATACATGGAGAAGGATATAACATCATATATGAGGTGTCTCTAACAAAAATGCATAACCTGAACCAAACCATCAGGAAATATCAGAAAAGTCTAAATTTGAGGAACATTCTATAAAGTAACTGACCAATGTTAAGGTCATGAAAAACACCCCTCACCCCCTACACACACATTAAGGAATTGCTCCAGATAAAGGAGCCTAAAGGCACATGGTTGCTAAAAGTAATGCATGACTCTGGATTGCATGCCAGATCAGAAGAAGAAAGTTTTTTCCTTTTACTATCAAGAATATTATTAGAAAAAGTGGCAAAATGTAATTTGAATAAATATATAATAGTGTTATGGCAAGGTTCATTTTCTGGTTTTGGTAATTGTATCATGGTTATGTAAGGGAGTATTTTTTCTTTCTTTTCTCCTTTTTTAAAATAAAGGAAATATATATTTGAAGTATTTAGAGGTAAAGAAGCATCATGCCTACAATTTACTCACAAGCAATTCCAGAAAATAACTCTATTAATATATAGAAAGAAATGACAAAGCAATTGTGGCAAAATGCTAACATTTGGGAGAATTTGGGTGAAAGGTATATAAGAATTCTTTGTTGCAACCTTTCTGAAGTTTGAAATTATTTCAAAATAAAAAAAAACAAAAAAACCCTTCTTTTAGTAGTTTGTCCTTTATGAAGCAATATATAACCATTCCCTTTTTCCCTCCTGCACTGAGGCACTATGAACTATTCTATCTTAGGATTCTCATTACATACTGTATTAACAACGTATCTTACAGTAATTACACACACACACACACACACACACACAGACATGCATACTTTGTTAGCTAGATTTTCAGCTCTTTGAGAAAGGAAAAAGTATCTTAATGTCAAAGACCAAGAATGCTATGCACACAGTGGTCACAAAGAAAATTTTTGTTGGATAAGGTCTTAAATGCTTGATTTTAATCACTCTAGAATATATAACTTGATAAAGAAGATGAACTGAGAGATAAACACTAAATATAATTTCATACATTATTCTGGCCAATGATTTCAATTTTCCTTTTACTTGAATTGTCCATTTTAAAAAATAATTGCAAACATTCATTAATAATAAATTGAAACTATGTTTTTCCTCTTAACTTTTTTGTTTAAAAGTGTTAAAAGAGTCAGTGCAGTAGAGAAATGAAAAAAGAAAATAAAAAAATACTTTAGCTGTGGTCAAGTAGTCAGGGAAATGGAAAATTAGCTTTAGGTTCAGTGTACATACTGCCTAAATAATTAACACTGTAAGTAACAATGTAAGTAAATCCTTATAGGTTATCTTTAGGTCAGGAGGTTTATCTATAGAAAAATTATAAGGCCAAAAGGAGGAAAAAGTCATTTATTTTCCAAGGTCAGGTGTGGACTGTTTTTATAGCTGTCTTCCTTCAGCTTTTATTTTCAATTTGTTATGTACAAGTAAGCTAAATATATAATATTAAAAGTAAACAGGTAAAATTAGCTGAGAGTATAGGATAAAAAGGGATGAAGTGAAAAATCTGATATTTGAAGATATAATGATAAAATAGATTAGCTAAAACAACACCAAAAAAGATAAAATTATTAAAAAAAAAACTGTAAGTGGGAGTCAAGTGCTAACATACCCAACAAAGGCAAGCAAAGTCTTTTGAGTTGAGGTGGCTGCAGATATAAACAGTAATTTTTCATGACTGTCTTT